GCGGGAACCAGGTATGAAAGTTGCGAACCAGACGAGAAGCGTGAACGTCGGTGGCATTGATCCACGTGAAGTCCTCAGGTCCAAAGCCTTTCCACGCCACGAGATACTGAAACTGGCCCCGCAACCAACGGGAATCCCGAATACTGTCCACTTCATACTTTATATCTCCATGGGGGATGGCCGGACCTGACGATGGTGGAGCTGGCCGATGTGGATCGTCGGCTGTGACTGGAACCAGCAATGACCTGTGGAAAACCGGGTGAATCCGCATGGTCTGGGGCAATGACAAGCGAAATGCCACTGGATTGATCACCCTTCGACCAGAAATGGACCCAAGTAACATTGATTGAGGTTTTTTGACGGCCGTGCTGTAGGCAGGTGCCGCGTGGAAAGCCAAACCTGATCGCCCACAGATAATGGAGGGACATCTCGACGATGACGGTCGGCAAATCGTTTGTAATCCTCCTTGGCTTTCTCTAGCTGGTGCCGAACTACTTGATGCACCACCTTCAGCTCCTGGAGGAACTTGTCCACGGCCGGAACTGGGGAGTCCGATGGAGCCAACGGAAAGAGCCGTGGATAAAATCCGTAACTGGCAAAGAATGGTGACACACGGGTAGATGCATGCTGGGCATTGTTATAGGCAAACTCCGCCACAGCCAGCAGCTCCACCCAATTGTCCTGTTGGGTGTTGCTGAAACAGCGTAGGTACTGTTCCAAGATTGCATTCACCCTCTCTGTGCCCCCGTTGGTTTCGGGGTAATGGGCGGAGGACAGACACGCCTGTACCTGCAGTTCCGTGAGTAGGATCTGCCAGAAGCGTGCCATAAATTGCACCCCCCAATCTGACACGACTCGGTCCGGTAACCCATGCAGCCGAAATACATGGGCGATAAACAAGTGGGCCGTCATCCATGCTGTAGGGAGACCCACACATGAGATAAAATGAGCCATTTTGATGAGCATGTCCACCACCACCAAGACGGTTGTGGCACCTTTGGAAGGGGGCAACTTGGTAATGAAGTCCAACAAGACTGCCCCCCAGGGTCTTTCTGGCGAGGGTAGTGGCTGCAAGAGACCAGGGGACGCACCAGTAGCATACTTGGCCTGTCGACAAATGCTGCATGATGCCACATAACTAGACACATCGTGCTGGAGCCGCGGCCACCAAAACATTCTGGAGACAAGGTGGTGTTATGAAGACCCCGAAGTGATCCACTGATGGACTATCATGGCATTGTTTCAGAATGATGCCACGGAGGGGTCCCCCAGGAACATAGATGCAGTCTCGGAAACGCAACAGGTCATCCGTGTACATCCAAGGGGTTTTATCTCCCTCATCGCCAGCCAACTCATGACGTCAAGCTGCCACAAACGGATCCTGCTGCTGTGCGTCACGAATTCTGCCCCGTAGGTCCACGGGCTCCTCTGTGGCCACCAACCGTTCCAAGGGGATAACCGTTCTGGGCATGATCTTGTCCTCCTTTTGGGTGAATTCGGGCTTACGAGACAGTGTGTCCGCATGCTGGTTCTGCCTGCTAGGGACATAGGTCACCCGAAAGTCAAACCTCGCAAAAAACAGTGACCATCGCACCTGTCGCTGATTTGCGTTCTGGCAGTCCGTAGGTGCTCTAGGTTCCGATGGTCTGTTCAAAATTCGATTTGGTGACGGGCCCCCTCTAAGTGGTGCCATGTCTCAAAAGCGACTTTGACCGCCAACAATTCCTTGTCCCAGATCGTATAATTCTGTTCCATTAATGAGGCCGTCCAAGATGGCAGCCGAGGCTGTCTCGGTCTCCAATGGGCCTGGGCCTGGTATTTTATCTGGGGGTGTGACCTTGGGAATAAGGCTGGATGGGGCCCTGTGGGCCTCTCTGTCCCTCGCGAAAAGGCCTCCGCCGCCTACCTGCTGGCAAGGTGGAGTGGGCCTTCTCTAGGCCCGTTGGCAATGGCGGCCCATCGCCTCATCAAAATGGCAGCCGCACCCGTCTGACAGCTACGGAGCCCAAACACCCGAGCGCAAGAAGAGGCTAGGGTCACCTGCAATGAAGCAAAAAGGCAAGCCCTGAGATGAGATCGATCGACTGCTTGCCACGCAGTTGCGGCTTCAACGAGGGCTGATTAAAGCTTACGCAGCCACCCAGCGGCTGCCAAAATGGCGGCTGCATGACCTGGCAGGAAAGGGAGCTGTCTGAGGCCTCCGTGATCCCACAGTGGCTGCCAAAATGGTCGCACGATCCGGACGGAAAGGGAGCTGTCTGAGGTCTCTGTGATCCCACAGCAGCAAACCGATTAGGCAGATCTCAAAAGCGAAAGCCAAATGAGGCCTCCGTGGCCATGCAGGAGAGTGGAAGGCGGGGCTGCAGCGCTGATCCCAGCGCTGCACGATGGTAAGGGGCTCGACAAGGGAAGAGCGGAAACCTCCACTCTTGCTAGAATCCCTGGGGAGAAATCCTACCTTCCAGCAGTCATCTGAAGCAGCGCTGATCCCAGCGCTGCTGAAATGACTGTGGATGCAAAGGAGAATTCACCAAAGGAAGCTCAGTACAACCTGCTTGCTGGGAGCCAGGATTGCCACGACTGTTAGGGCTGGAGACCAAGTCAACACTGGATGTGTCCTAGTCCAGGACGGGCGTGGCAAGTTTAGCTGACTTGGTCTAATGGGCAGGAAGACAGAGCTAACCCATTGGTGGATTCTGCATCTCCTGTGCTGGAGAACTCCTGATGGCAATTATTTAGATAGGTAGGTAGGTGGGTGGGTGGGTAGGTAGGTAGATAGATAGATGGATGAATAGGTAGGTGGGTAGATGATAGATAGATAGATAGATAGATAGACAGACAGACAGACAGACAGACAGACAGACAGACAGACAGACAGACAGACAGACAGACAGACAGACAGACAGACAGACAGATAGATGATAGATAACCTTTATTATTTTTTTACTGGGCACAATGGCACACATTAAAAATGAAATTTAGTTGCTTGCTCTCAAAGTGTACACATACATAACACACATTTAAACATACTATATACAACATATGTATAGACCTACACCTTACATATAAGTAACATATAAATAATAATCACTGTCCATCTTGAATACATAACAAAAGGAGGAAGCTTTAGAGTTCACAAGGTTAATACTGTATGGAACAAAACTGTGACTGAATCTGGATGTTCTGCTTCGGATACCATGAAGCCTCCTCCCAGAGGCTTTCTTTTATATCCTAAAAGAAAGACGTTTGTAATCAAAATCATGGGGGTGCTTGCCTGTTCCTAGGGATATACCTAAGGATCCATATTCCTAGAGATATAGAAGGTGACACTTGCTGAAGCAGGATTACTATTTGGATTGTGTAAATCATGCAAGCACTTAGAAGTAGTAGGTAAAATCAAAAGAATGAAGGGCAAATACATTGTGTTCTAATGAATTGGAATTTTACATTATTTTAGAATTTCACTCAACATATTAATATGCTTAAATATATAAACATTTGGTCTGATTCTAGCAAACACACTACTCAACTAAATAATACTACATCTGCACACAGTTGGAGCAATTTCACACATACATGATTAAGTTACTACGAAGGTTTAGATGGTTCTTGGCCCCTGTGCAATTGTCTACAAGGGAAATACATGCTGTAGGAATCAATCTGTGTATAATTCAATTTTGCGTAATTGCAGACCATTTGCAGACAGCTGACATTTTGCAAGCTTTAACAGCTGTTTCTGTTCCTTATTTGAAGGTATTTGTTCCCACAAATTCCAACGGTATTGGAAGTAGCACAATATGCATGACAAAAGGCAGAGAAAGTAGTCTTGCTAGCAAACTTCACAATCCATTTGATGAAGTGAATAAGATAGAGAAGCGTATCCTTTTCTCTGTTTACAAGGCAAGGCAGTTATTCTATTGTATCTCAGAATATTTACTTATTAACATTCAAGACTAACTATAGAATGAAGTACATTTCATAGTTAAGGCAGATTCTTATTCAGGTGTTCAAAAATTGAGGGATCTTATCTCCTTTTATCAATCAAATATTACATTTTACATCTTTTTATATCCAATGATTTTAATTACTCTTTAATGTTTATTATGCTGCAAGTCACCCAGAGTCATTTGAAATGAGAGGGGGGGCAAATAAATTTAATAAATAAATTACAGTGGTCTCCTTAGTACAGGGGTCCACAACCCCCGGTCTGTGGACTAGTACCGGGCTGCAGCATGCCAGCAACTGGTCCGCACAAACAAGCAAAGTCCCATCTGCAGGATGTAGCAGCACACGAAACCACACTCCCTCCGGTCCACGGAAAAACCTCTCTCCACTTAACCGGTCCCTGGTGCCCAAAAGGTTAGGATCCTCTGCCTTAGTACATTCATAGTAATAGCATAGGTAACATAAGCAAAAGTCTCTTTGCATGTGAAGGCACACATATGCATTATTTATCAGTGCTGTGAGGCTAATGTAATGAGTGACATCTGTGAGGTGGGTTTACCAAAGCAAGTATGGGTAGTTTTCTCTCTTTTGATATATCTGCATATGATAACATTAATTGTAATTAAATACTTCCTGCTTTTTCTCCAATCTCAAGAAGACCAGGAAGGTGATGAGAAGTTAAAGGTAGAATTGCAGAATAGTCCGTAGAAATAATTTTCTTACCAATGAACACTTGAATTATTTTTCATTCTCCTTCTTGCCTATTTGGTAAAAACATTAACAAAATAAATAAATTCTATTTACTTAATCAGGAAAGATTCAAAGAGTTTTGGCCATTTCTCAAGCTGATAAACCTGACATCTGAGGAGAAACAAGTGCCTCCTAGTTTGGGTTCAATCAGACTCCATCTCTAACTAAAAAGAGATCTCCAGAGCTGGGCCACTTGAGCATAATAATCAGAATAAGCAAAGCAAGGGCAAAAGCTAAGACAAGCAGTAGTATCTAGGAGACAAATATTTGATTAATAACTTACAAAAATGACAACTTTATGGAAGGAGAACTATTTTATTAAACCTTTTACAGATTTTGTTCACAATGTAATACATCAGTCATAACAATAAAATAAAACTTGGCACAGTTATAAATAAATTAGAAAAACAAAATACTCATTTTAAAACAGTGATGCACTTTTAATGCATATTAATTGTTGAAAAGAAAATCATGGGGAGAAAGTTGTGCACTAGAAAACTTAAAACCTGCATAATATATGTATCATTTTTCTAGGTCACACACAATATTTTAATCCTTAGTATATCAATGAATGTCAAAATTCTAATCTTTTTAATTGGATTCACAAAGGCCTTAGGGTGCTGTAGTATGCTGCAATACATTCAACAAGCAGAAAAAAATATTCTATGTATTTTCCCCTTTCGGGTTCGAGATTATACATTTCAAAATTTCTGGCAATAGAATAATTCTAGGTGCTTCAAATATTGAACTTTTATCTTCCATTACTTTTTCTCTGACAATTATGCAAAGTATAGAAACAAAATTTATACTTTTCCCCCACTTAAGTGAAATTTACTTTTTATTGTATGAAGGACACAATTATTTGGACAAGGATTTTATATGGTATATATTTTTTATATAGCAGAAGATCTACAAATATATTGATCTTCTGAGGCCTTTCAAAAGCAATTGTTTCTGTGAAAATACATTTTTCCAAAGTAGAATCAAGGGTTTTAAGATTCTAAACATGATTATTAAAGGAGAAAACATGATTATTAAAAGACAAAATAAGTAGGGCTTCTCAAATCTGCTAAAGATTGGGGTATTAAAATATGAACCAAAGTGTTGCCTAATCTTTTCAGCTTTTAACATTAAAAATTAGAAGGAATGTTGCAAGAATAGTATATTCTTAGTATTTTTCTAAAAAGTATCTGTCAAACTGGCACAGTCCTTTTACCTCCCTGCACATAACTTCATTTTCTTAACCTAACCATAGTTTATTAAAGATTAGTTTAAGTTTCTCAATATTAAAATATCCAAATTATACTAAGGTTGCATTTCTGTAAATCTTGATATCTGGTACTTGCAAACTATGGACACCTGGCAATCAAAGAAACACCTTGAATGGGGGAAAAGCATACTTGCAAATACTGAACATCAACTATTTACAGTTTCACTGCTCTTTCTAAGGCAAGGGGTGGGAATACCACTGGATTGCTTTAATACCTGTAATTTCAATATTACAGGAAATGCTAGTTTTACCAAGCATCAAACATGCAGTGAAGTTGCAGGGTACAGTGCCTATTAATAGCAATATTGATCATTACTAAAAAGCCCATTAGATATCCTACATTTTTTGTTGAAAATGAAATGAGCAGCTTTTAAATATACTAACATACACACATGTACACACACACTTACAAAAACTAGTTGATAAATTATTTATATACAGATACATATTCTTTACAATGGTCTCTACTTCTGTATTAAAGATCCCTTCCCTAGATCCTCCTCACAGGATTTTTGAACCACTATACTGCTACAGCACTTAAGAGAACCCAAACATATTTCAAGTCTCTCTGTAAACAATATTTAAGGAAGCAGTGAAAAATTCACAAGGAATATAAAAAATGCTATAACTGAAAATCAGTGCATCACATTCAACAACAAAAAAATTGCTTCTGGAATGTGACTTTACACCACTCCTTGTCTTTTAAATTTCATAATTTGAAAGTAAGTTTATTGTATTTTTCCACTTATCAACATACCATATAATTCATGACACCTGTAATATCAATAACTTACATGTGCTACAAAGAAATAAATTTAGCTTAAAATTTAGCTTAAATTTATTTTATCTTTTTAAACATTATTTTAATCTAGCTACATTTCTTGGGAACTGCATCCAATTTAATAACAATCATATCCTAATTAATTAGAATTTAACCTTTGATTTTTTGGCTCCCATATAAGTTCTTGTTTACCAATTCTCTAATGACAGTAGAATATATCATGCACAATGTCTCACATTACTTATGAAACAAAGTTGTACTAACAGCATATATAACATTTTTCTTTAATTTTTGCAGATCATATTTTATTTTGTAATCTAATTTTAGAAAGTATCATCATGCATTTAAGTGGTGTTTTGTATTAGGCAGAAAAGTTAAGATTTCTTCTAAGTTGCTTTTTCTGCCCAGGATATACAACTTCATATAAGATTTATTATGAGTAATTTATTGTATCAGAGATAAATCAGCCCTAAAAACGGATAATTACTGTTACATTTAGGTAAGAGTTTTGTGACGAACATCCTCAACTTCACAATTTATGGTAGACCCCAACAAAACTACATAATTCATTACCGTATTTAATGTACATTTTTCAATGCACATATTACAGCAAATCTATACAAAATTTCATTGCAGTAAATATAATACAATGATCTCAAGATGTTAGCTTCATAAAATTTAACTTCAAATGAAATTGTTCAAATTATGAAATAAATATTGAATCTTCAGCACAGCATGACTTTATTCTGTTTGTATTTTTAACAATTCATGCTTCATTGTGAAACTAAAATATAATTGTGTGAATATGTCTTTCGGAGTTATTCCTGTAGTAAGAACAGTTAAAATTCCCTTCTTCTTCCTCATTATCAGGATTGGCAGTTTATTCTGTCCTTTTTAAAACTTCCATTAATAAAACAGGTGCAAAGAAGGTACCATTAGATTCACTGTTAGCTCTATTCATAACATGCTACTGTTCAAGTGATGTGGATTCAAAAGAAACAAACTTCCAGGCACCATTCAGATCTGATATGCTCACATATTGGAAGTGGGTGTTAAACCAGCTGGTAGCCAGTTCCAGAGATTTGGTCATATTCTATTGTATATTGCCGTGTCCAGTCCACAATAACAGGACGAAATAAACCGCAGCATCTGAATTCAAAGAAGTCTATAATATTTCTTATACATCCATGGCTAAAAAGAGAAGAAAAAACAAAAAAAAAAATGGTCTAAGTACTTAATATTGCAGCTAACAAATACAAAGTTACCCCTAATAATAACATGGATGATTTCCACAGTAATTATTGTGTAATGACAATGTTTACTGTTACTGAACTGCTACAGTTATAAGCTATTAACTGAATACCAGATTCAAATAACTTATTTGGAGTCTTACATACACTGCCTTTTCTCAGCCTTGTAATGGGGATATGCTACTAATCCATTATTCTGGGTTTCAAAAGAACTGATATGATACTATATTCAGGAAGTAATACATGCCATTTAGAATTAGTGATAGAACCCAAATCACAAAAATGACAGCAGAACAGCAGCTAGTAGTAAAAATGGAGTGCTATATGAAGGCTGGGTGAATGAAAAGAGAATTAAGGAAAAATATCAAATGTAATGAAATCTTTTCTGGAATTTTATTAGAAAGGAACACTTGAAAAGTTAAGTAGATTCATAAGTGATGATTAATGTATATTACACATAATATTTCTGGGATCTGCCATCAGACTATTCATTCTTTATGGAATTAGGTTACTGTTAGTTTGACCGTATTGTAGGTAATATTTGAATTTCAAAGAGTTGGGGAGAGATAAATGAGATAACAGAAGGTACAGTGAACTGAAACTAGACAAAGTTTGAAGAATTCAAGGGAATATTAAACAAATAGGACTGATTGTCATGGGTCATAAAGAAGTAATTTAAAACTGTTGTATGTCATATAAAAGCAGTCTAGTGTTATATGCTGGACCAGTACACATGAGGTGCTTTCTTTCATTCACAAATGAAGCATTCCTCTGTATGTACACTATGCTACAAAGCAGCTGGCCTGCTTCAAGAATGGGCATATCCAGAAGACACTTCTGCTATGATAGTGAATGAAGTTTCTCAATGAATTATTCCTACTGTTCTATTACAACCCTGGCTGGACCCAAAATTTATTATTAAGATTACAATTTGAGCAGATTTATTTTTAAAAACTTGAAATTAAGCCACAGGGTACTTGTCAATTTGATTGGAAAAGTAGCTAGTAAAAATACTTTATCTATGAGCTATTTTTTCTTCCATGGTAAAATTCCATACCATCACCACATAAACCTGCTGAAATACTGATTTGTTATATTTGATGAAAAGTTAAAAAGGATAATTAAAAAGCCACACAAACTGACCAATTCATGGTCAGTCATATCTAACCTGTTTCATCTTGAGTATCATATAAACATTTAAATAAACATGCATTTAAACACATTTACTTATATACTTACTTAAATGGACTTTCAATAGATGTTGTTGTAACTTTAAAGTGCTTATATCGTCTGGCATTCATTCTTTCATTTGTAGTAATCCCTAAACAAGAAATCTAGAAAACAATAATAGCCAACTAATATTTAGAAGCACTGAAATTATAGAAATATCAAGCGACCAAAAGCAGAATCAATATTCATTTAAAGATACAGTTACAAAAGATAATGAAAATGTGCTATCTTTTCCAATTGTATGTTAAAAGAATATGTTTTTCACACATAAAATATATTTTCAGTATATTACAGGTACCCTAATAGCTATTCTAAACCAAGTTAAACACCAAGCCAATATCTGAGTCAATACTTTCCTTTGTAAAAGAGTTAACTAATAGGACAGTACAATATTTTGCATTTGATTAGGCAAAAGAGTTTCAAAACCTGGAGTTAGTGTGAACTCAATGCACTGTACCGGTGACTTGTGAAACAACCATGTCTCCTTTCAGGAACAGACTGTCTTTTACAGGCAGTTACCACACTCACACATTCCCCAAAATATTGAACTCTAATACAACTCAAAACATTGCACAGTCTTAATAATTGTGGGGTTGTGATAACTTTTATTTAGCATTAAATTATTCACTTTTCATTTAAAAAGTTTTCAACTAGCTGTATTTTGCTTTTTTACTAGATGTAAGTGGAAGTTAACAAGAAGGCATATACATTTTATGAATAAATTAAAATAGTACTTAAAACTAAATTGTACAAACAAAAACCCCAGGATTTTTTTTTTTAAACATTCAGCTGAACTTTCAAGGATCAGCAATATTAACAAACACACACACACATACATACAAAAGAAAAAAAATGAAATCAACTATTAAAATCAACTACTCTGTCAGGGCTTGACAAAATTAATGTTTCAGTTCATATTCTCAGAAAATTTAGGAGCAAAATTTTACTGACAGTATTGTATTATCTTTCACAAATAGAACAACTACACCCAGTATGTACTTCTTTAGGATAGTTTATAATAAAAGATCCATGAGAACAGATTTGAAATCATAATTTGCCCCTCATCATTTGATCTACCAAACTGACCACATCCTACAGAAATAGTGTCAAATTTGTGCCATCCAAACTTCAGAAATCAACTCATTTAAAATATGTAATTTATATTGAACAGAAGAATAGATAGGAAAGAATGTTTATCTGTCTGTCTATCATTTCCTCATGCATGAACTTATTTTCTATGGTTAAGATACATTCCATATATTCAACAGAAGATTCCTCTATGTACCTAGTAAGTTGTTTTTTCTTACCTGATACATTTGACACATTAGTAGTACAGCAACCCACATGAAGTGAAACACACTGTTCAAAAACATCCAAAACATCCATGGTGAACAAGTGGCAATTTGTGTAATATACGTCCAAAAACCATCTGTTGTATAACTTGTGTGACAGTGGATTCCCCAGTCTGAAATAAATATATATTATATATATATCACAATTTTACAAAATAGCTCCATACTATTTTCCTTACAGCATTTAAATGGATTTTTTTGTTCCAATAGTAAACTGTATGAAAATAGTTTCAAAATGAAAGTATTTTAATGGTAAAAATCAGATAAACAGATTAATCAATATGAAGAAAAATTTACAAAATTGATGCACAGAGCAGATACATTTTAAAAAGTTAGGCAATTAGAAATATGTAAAACACTTCTGGTTCCGGTTCGCAGCGACTCCAGTCGTGTGAAGAGACTCGTCTCTCCACCGGCTGTTTTTCTTTGCCGGTAGACCCTGTAGTGGGTTGAAAGTCACCCTGGAGGGGTGACCACCGATGAGGAGGTTTGCTGGTGACTGTGGGAGGGCGGCAGCTTCTTCCGCGGCTCCAGCTAACTCCTTAGGGCCGACGGAGCTAAGATCGTCCTACAAGATGGCCGATTATCTAGCTGCACCAGCTGAAAGTCACAGGAACATCTAAGCGTGAAAGACCCACCGCGAATGATCCGGGTGAGACCCTTCTTTCTCCTCTCTTCGCCCTATTTTTCTCTTTGCCTGTAAAAGCCTTTTTGGAATAATTTCCCTGCCTCGAGAGAGTGGTGTTTGTTTGCGTGGGAAGAAATGCATTGAATAAAAAGACAGAATAATTTTAATGACTATACCTTACTTGTATCTACTTTGGGGTACAGAAAAAACTTTTTTTATAGAGCTTTATTTTCATTTTACACTTGAAGAATATTTCTTTTCCCACCTTTTATCTTTAAAAAAGAGAGAGAGAGAAAGAAAAAAAATGCTGTTTGGGAAAGATTTTGTAACCCACTGAGGACATCTTGTTGTGAAAATTTAATATTGCAATTGCCTGTTTTTGTCTGGAGATGAGGTTGGCTTGGCCTTCAAACTATTACAAAAGGGAAAAGATAAAGATATTGATGCAGTGGTTAGAAATCGTGGGGGTGGACATTGCTTAACTTTCAGTAAATATAGCCCCCACTAAAAGATAAAAAGGACTGTCTTCAATTATTATTGAAATGGAGAAACCTTACTTACAACTAAATTATAAACTTATACTGGAAAAAATTTATGAAGCCACTGAGCAAGTATGCGCTAAAATAAAAGGGATTACTACAGAAATAAGAGCCAGAAACCTTAACCCAAACCTTCAAACTGATTCCCAGACTTCAACTGGCTATTCTATAAACCAAAATATACCAGAAGAGGAACTAACTGAGATTAAAGAAGAATTTATATTACCTTATAAGCATTCCACTCACATCCTTGAGAATCAAAAGAACCAAAAATTGAGATTTGAACTTTTAAAGCAACGAGGGTCTAACGACAAAGGAGCCAGGCGCCTAAAACAGAGGATGGGACGTCTTCTACTGACCCAAATTACATCACAAGCAATAAAGGGAGATCTATCTGCTGAAATAGAGGCTTTGTTATGAAAACCTGCTTGGCACAAAAAGAAAGCCAGAATAAGACTAAAAAGAGAAACTTAAAATTATATGTAATGGATTAAAAAGGCCTTGTAGAAATATGGATTGACTTAAGGTTTAAGATTTAGAATTAGAAGTGTGAGAAAAACTTGTGATCACTAGAATATATACGTTAAACAGAGTAAGAACGTACCTTTTGGAATAATATATTTGTATGAAAAATATTTTGTAATGGAATGAGAATAAGAAAATGGAAGAGGTTTTAGAGATTTGGATTGATTTAACAATTAATTGAGCATGTTAAGTTAGTAAGATGATGCTTTGTGTAATAATATGTGTGTTTTTAGACATGATACCTATCTGGATGAGATTTGAATTTTTCCTAATGGACTGAAATGATTTAGTGTTTTGTATTATTTTGCTTTGCTATAGATTGACTGATGGACTGTATATGTATAGGGTAGAGTAATATTCTATTTTAATCAGGATAATTATTTTGTAGTGGAAGAAGAAATAATAGAGATTTCTGATAAAATTAATGATTCATGAGATTAAGAATACATTTGGAAGGGGTACCCGAAGTGATAATATGCTTATTTAAGATTAAATTGGACTATGGTAATTGTAAATTAATAAAGTTTGAAAACAGGATTAGGATCTATAGAATCTAATGTAGAAATGGATCATTTTAAATATATTATACTATTTGAGGGAAATAGAGAGGGAATATTTAATGTATCTACTTGAGTTATTCATATATGATTTTGTTCTTGGATGTTTGACTACCCTATCACCATGGTGTGTCTCGAGCATTTTGTTGTAAAAGTTAAAAAACCAATAAAATTTGTTCTAGAAAAAAAAAGAAATATGTGAAACAAACTAAACTTACAAGAGATACAGCCATAAATCATCCAGCAAATCATGAAGAGTAAAAAGAATAAATATCCCATGAAATAACGATGATTGCCTGCTCCTGAGGAATAAACAAAGTATTACAATAAAACATTCATTTTTGCACTATATTAACAGTACAACAAAGATAATGGGCATGCCTAATTTTTCTGCTACAATATTTAAAATAATTGTGTTTCAGTTGGAAAGTTCACCTCATCAGGTGCACTTTGCAAATAAATCACAAGCCTCTCAAGGATCCAATGAACATGGATGTACTAAAATTAATTAAAAGTACTAACGAGCATAAACATGAAATATAAAAACAGATGTTTTGCTCAATGACTTATAATTATCTCCTGAAATGACAACATAATACAAAAATGAGTACTGGAAATTATTTGAATGCATATTTTTGGGTTGTGTTCTACATTTTGACCTATCTATGAGAATAATCCATCACAAGAACTTCACTCAAGATGTTTCAGCTGCTGAAAAAGAATATAAACCCTGCATATTTTTCAGCCTTCTATAGCCTCAGGATTTTCTTCTGGAAAATTGAACAGATGAATTTTTCTTAACTGTGAGAGACAGATGCTGATTCCTAAGTTTATATTTTTACCAGTATTTTATAAATCATACTGTTTTACAAATTGTATTTTTCTTGCCCCAAATCTAACCCTACTCTAATTATTTAGCAGGTAATTACTGGATTCTATTGTTTCTCTCAAACATTTCACCTCAAGTTTTCACCAAATTCATATTTCAATTTCATATTAGACGAAAACTGGAGGTTAACTATTTCTAAGTTTACAAAATTGACTCTTCTAAGATTTAACAATCAGCTTCTACCTACTACATGGCTATGTTTATTACTGGCTCAAATTTACCCCTCTAATATTTTGCAACATTAATCCAGCACATCATCATAAATGCTGTCTAGAAAAGGAGAAATCCAATGTGTAGAATTATGTATTATTTCTATAACATCCCTGAACATAGAACAGCAAGAATTGTGTCATATAATTATTCCTGAAGTACAGGTAGTTCTTGACTTACAACCACAATTTAGCCCAATATTTCTGTTGCGAAGCAAGACAGTTGTTAAGTAAATTTTGCCCCATTTTTCAACCTTTTTTTGACACAATTGTTAAGTGAATCACTGCAGCTGTTAAGTTAATAACACGGTTGTAAAGTGAATCTGGCTTTCCAATAGACTCTGCTTGTCAGAAGATTGCAAAAGGTAACCATGTGAACCCAGGACACTGCAACTGTCATAAATATGAACCAGTTGTAAAACATCTGAATTTCGATGGCGTAACCACGAGGATATTGCAACAGTTATAAGTGTGAAAAATGGTCATAAATCTCTTTTTTCAGTGCAATGTAACTTCAAATGGTTGCTGAACAAATGGTTGTAAGTTGAGGACTATCTATAGTCTTATCCAACTGTCCTGTATTACATGACTACTTTTTTTAAAGTAATGAGTGTATTATGAACAAAAATGCTTGCCCAACTTTATTGGGTAATCTGAAGATGATAAAATTGTTTTCCCAGACTCTCATAAACGGAAATAATTTAAGAAGTGGAATGATTTACCTGCATAAATGATTTTCTACAACAGCTAAAAATTATATCTTTGGAATAGTATATAAAATGTCTGTGGCACATTATTCCCACTATTGTTTTCTTATATATTTTCTATATGATTCCAATAATGGAAATAGCTGCAAAATAGTATGCACATCCATTTTCTTGCTTACCCACATTAAGTCTGACAAAGCCTTCATGGTAGATATATGCAAAATGTTCCATTTCAACGATAAATGTTCTGGAGAACACAGATCAGGCTGTTTTAGGGAGGTGTAGCAGTCTTCTTGACGTGAATACTTCTAGGGTGGACTTGCTATTTATCTGTGAACATCAGTAGCAGGTCCAATAGTTACACTCGTAAAAAAAAAAGAAGCAGGTATGGGACTTGGTTATCCTTCTGGCTTCTTCTGAGACAGAAAATGGGACCTTTCTCCAATTTTGGCTGGTAACCACTTATGATCTTATCTTGACCAAAATGCCTTGCTGATAGTTACTTATGGCCTGATCACTAATCCAATAGACTGTTTTAATATGTTATATATGGGGCTTCCTTTGAAGATAACCTGGAAGCTGCAATTGGTAGAAAATACAGCAGGAAAATTGCTGATCACACTATCCTCAGTTAGCATAGAGAAATACTGGATTGGTTGCCAATAGACTTCACAGCCTATTTGAAAGTGCTAACCATTATCTTTCAAACCATCAACATCTTGCCTGTCCAGTTCAGACATCAAGAAGGGGTCTGCTTAAAGTCCCTCCTTCTAATAGATTTCCTGAGATGCAGATCAGGCAATAGATCTTCTTAATGATGGCCCCAGTTTATAGAATTTTTTAACTGCCAAAAGTACAGGTGGTCACAAAGACATTCTTTTGTTAAACTGGTAGATAACACTGAGTTTTTAGCTTGTTGGTCTTATTGAATATCATTATTTCAATTTTTTTTCATTATATTATGAACTGTTATATGCCACCCAGAGTTAGTATAGATTGGGACAGCTTAAAAACATTGTTAAATAAATAAACATATCTTCCGGAAAGAAAGCAGTCTTGAAAATTATTGGATAATACCTGATACAGCCAGATTAGCAGGACCTGGAGTTGAAATGGAACATTCTGGAGCTACACATACCAAATGCACAGGCAAAAGATTGGCTGTGCTCACTAATTTCTCTAGAATAAAAATGCATTGCTGGATATATAAAAACTAAAGTACAATGTTCTGTTTAAAATAAAAGCATATTTGATAAATAAATACACTGGACAGTATCTCTAAAAAATACTTACCTACACAGTTACCCACCCATGGACAGTGATGATCAAACTTGGCTATACATCGATTGCATACACCACAATGCTTGGACCTCACTGGCTTCCGTATCTATTTGACAGATTTTAATATGCATACTATATAACAAAAGCTTACAAATATATATGAAGTTTTAAATATGCAGGGTTATCAAGAATTGTAGATTTGATCTTTAGATTTTAAGCCTATTTCACTATGTAGCTATGAGTGAGACAAAGAGAGAAAGAGAATGGGAATATTAATTTAAATCAGAGCTTCCTTTTTATTTAAATTCCGCGCTTTAAAAGAATATAGATAATTTGAAACTGATATCTGGATAAGAAATAGACAAACATAAACTGGACTTTTATCCCCTCCTCCCTAGTTCTTTCTTTAAGCTGTCAACAACAGAAGCCTGATGTTGTGACCTAAAAAGCTAAGACTTTAGTAATGAAAAGATTTTTTTTACTAATTAATAATGAAGTCTTAAGGAACTTTATTGTTATCTAAAGATCAACTGTTTACCCATGAATAATAAATGTTAAGTTACAAGAGAAAAGAATCAAATAGATAGTTTCAATATTATGCATGAACATATTTAATTGAAACAAACGTTATATCATACATACTAATGAAGTAAAATATTAGTATAGGAAGTACAAAATTAAGCTTTAATTTCTTAAACTAAAAATTATATAAAGTGTCTCAAAACTATCAAGATTAATATTCTGCCACCTGTAGTGCCATACTCATTTTTAAGTTCATAAATAGAAGTTGTTTTTTGCAGAAATCGTAGAGTTTCTGCAATAGTCCTACAAACTTATTCACTCAAAAAGCACCCAAATCTAAAACATGATTGTGCTTTTCCTGCTTTAATTCAAGGTTCAGGTTAATCTTAAACTCACATGCTGCATAACGAAACTCCATACAAAAGCATAGTGCATATGATTTACTGAACTATAATAAAGCTGCAAAATTCATCTGTAATTGCTGATAGAAAGATACTTGTAGTTCATGGCTGATAGTTCACATTTAGACTATGCATACTGAATATTTAGGAGAGAAAACAAGATGCAGAAAGGAAACATCTACATATCAATGAACCCCTGTAATAGTATGAAAGTTCCCTTGATCTAAAGGAAAAATGAAAGAAGCAGGCTTAAGAGAGAAAATGTTTCTGATAACCATCATCTGGAACCCAGTATGAAATACGTTATACATAATTGTAAAAGTACTGTAATTAGATTGACAATATGGAAGTAGAATGAGGGCAATATTTAACTGGTGGAATAAAAATGATAAATTAGCCAAAAATAACATAGGAAAGTCTAGTAACAATAACTGAATTGAATAGAATATTTATTACAACTTATATGGTATTCCATTTCCAGGGATACTGAGTAGTTTGTAGCAAAACCATAAGATTAAAAACAAAAATACAATTATGACTACTGAGTCCAATGTGCCACCATTCAGAGTAGCCCCCAAATGCATTTCATAAGAGCCATGTTTTGCTTTTCCTTTGGCTGATCAACAAACAGATGATTCTGATACCTGAGGATGAGCTATTCAAACAATAGGAACTATCAATAAAACTTAAATCTGGAATCCCTAAAATGGCATCTCTCAGTGGTAGAATCCCCAACAAGCCTTCTCTCCTAAATCTTATTGGGCAGTTCAATTCAACTTGGAGAAGGTAGTTTCAGAAATACCAAGGTTCTGTGCCAGGTAGTGACAAAGTGCATCTTGAAATGTATCCAGAAGCTAGCTGGTAGCCAGTGTAGCTCCAATTGTAGTATTATTGCATGGGCAAATCTTGGTGCACCTATAATTATTTACCTGCTGCACGTTACCTCATATAACGGGCATCCCATGTACCACACATTGCACATGCAATAAATTGATGGAAAGGGCATGAGTGACTGTGAGAAAATCTTCCTGATCCAGGAAAGGCCACAAATTGAGCATGAAATTAAATGGTACAAAGATCCTCATGGCCACAGCCCCCATCTGTTGTTAAAATGAGAACCGTGATTGACTGTTATCAAACATCCAACAATAATAGCCAACCATTTGCTCCTGATGGGACAGTTTCTGTGAAAGAGCTGCTTTGTGATTGGAGTCCTTCTGGACTTATGGCTCCTGCAAAATAGCAATGGAAGCTGCAGCCTGAGAGACTAACCAACTGTGAGTGGGGTGCTCTTGTAACAGTGTCTCATTCCCAGATTATTGCTTGACTGAGTTACTACAATGCATTCAATGGGGCTACTTTTGAACTAGTGCATTTATCAGCTGGGGAAACTTGCTATGTGAGAATTACATGTATCCTTAGGCCAGGCATGTCAAACTGCTGGCCCGCGGGCCGGATGTGTCATGCCGAAAATGCGCCCACCCCATTGCTGGCAATGGGGAAAAAGTCCTGATACATCGCGTGACGTCACAATTTTGACATGCCTACTTTAGGCTGTTGCACTGGCTGCACAAGCCTTCAGACCTTATTCAAAGTGCTAGTTAGTATTTATAAAGCCCTATATGGAATGGCACTAGAATATCTGAGATCACTTTACCAAGCATAATTTTGCCATTCTAACCTGGCAATCCAAAAGAGATCTGTTAAAAATCAACTCCTTTTAAAAATATTGTTTATGTTATTTTTCCCTCCTAGTCCTAGTTCTAATTCTAGTGACTGCGAAAGGTATTCAAAACTAAATAAATAAATGTAACCCTAACCCTGTAGTTTCATATGGATTTCTCTACAGAGATTTTTATTTTGAAAAGTCTTGAACTTCTGGTAGAGCCAACTGTCAGAATTTATTTATCTAATTTAATATGGGTTCATAACAAAATGTTAAATATATTTTAATTGAAATTTCTAACAAGAGTCACCTGAACTAGTTTTCAGATGTTGCAGCTTCATCAGTATGAAGACTCCAGTGAGGAACCTTGATATCCTACTTTAAGTTTCATATCAACAAGAATACTGATACTGGTCTTTATGGTTTTCATATGTCTGAATTCTGAATGAACAAAGAAATGACTTATATTCTATGTGAATATATCCTCTTGCAATCCTAAAGTATATATTTATTTTTAAAACATTCAACATTAAAATATATAGTTTAAATACAAGTAACTCGTATCTGTATGTATTAGGGAAAAAGTATACTACCAAGCAGGTACTGCAGAATATACTGAGATCCAAGCTTCCTGTCTCTGCAAGTTCCACTATTGTCTGTAGAAAAATAAAACAAAGAACATATTAAATCTTTTAAGAACTGATTTTATATATACTATGTACATTTTTTATAAACAGTCATATTAGCATATAGACCATCTGACTATCAGATAAGTAAATCAAATTGTGCAATTTCACTGCTTCTGCTGCTTCGATGCCAAGCAATTAAAGCATGTTAACACTGACTCTAATCAGCTTTGTTTGTTGCTAGATTGGGCCCAATTAAAAGGATTGTTATCATTCAGTTCTATATGTGTTGTATCTGTTACTAGAAAGACTGTCTGCACTTCTATGAGCCTCTTAAACATTTAGATCTCAGTTAATACAATACTGTTAAGGTTCATAAGCTCACAATTTTTTTAGTGATGGTCTCATGATCAACATTACTATTGTTTTAAACTCTAAAAAATGATTATTTACCATTCATTTTAACATATTGGGTGGACTTTAAACTGTAAATTTAACCATTTTAATTATTTTACTACTTACTGCTAGTTTTGATATTAGTATTGAATATTATTAAACTTGTGTGTTCTAACCAACAACTCTGGACATTTCACATTTAACCAACATTAAAAGGAATAGAATAATATAACAATATACAAGAACAAGGAAATAAAAGTTGACAAACTGGACAGAAGCAAAAACAAACCTGTACCGCCTACAGGGGCCCTACAATCACTGCTATTAATCATGGCAATGCATTATAAATGCATATAATGCATATAAAAATATTCAAGAACACAAATATTCAAGTAAAATATATTTAATAGCAGAAACTTTGCAGAAAAATAACTTCTAATCTAAATAACAATTCTGCCAACATTATAGATGGTAAGTTGATTCAGTGACCTTTGCTAATAATTCTGAAAAGTCATCAACCTTGTGATATGAGGCTGAAATTATACTATATTCAGTCAAGAAAGAAAACTTCAATCAAGAAAGGAACTATTCAATTAAGAAACTACATTTCATTATTTATTAACAAATGCAAATTTTGTTACCTTTTTCTTTTGTTCTTCTGTGGCTTTAATTATTCCTGGATCTGATTTCCAGGATTTCCCAAAATTATAGAAAAGTGCAACACTATTAGCAAGAAATGGAAGGTGGATGAAGAGAAAATTGAGATGTACAATCATTAAGGAATGGAAATATATGTTCAAATTACCGTAATATTTCTTTTATTTAAAAAAATCAGTGTCCTTCAAAGCAAAGTTTTCTTAATTAATTTAATTTACTTCTACTGGAGATACCAAAGAGTGTTCCTGATACATAAAACTGTCTCATAACCGAGCCTGAATACTGACTGGAAAAGGTCTAGACCAGTGGTCCCCAACCTTTTGGACTCCATGGACCAGCAGCAGTGGCGGCAGCAGCAGGGGGATGGTTTTGCATGCACAACGTAGCTCCCACACATTTGCAATGAAGCCTCACACACTTGCCCACTTGCATAGCCCAGTTCCCAATGGGCTATGGACTGGTACCAGTCCACGGCTGGGGATCAAAAACTCCTGGTCTAGATAATCTGGACCCTCTGAAGCTGCCAAACAACCACCTTTTTCTATCACATTCCCTAAGAAGGGAAGATGGGAACCTGGACAAAAATTGTCCAGGCGATTGGGATCAAGTGGTTTTTAAAAAGATTTACTAGTGGATGATCATCTGCTGGACTGCCTACACTCTCTTCCTGGTTCTGTCCTAATCTTCTTTCCTCCACCTGGGCCACTTCCGCAACCATGCTCTCCATCAGGCAAGGCAGGCAATCATCCCTTCTTAATCACACATTGTAGCTTGCTTGAAATACAAGGGCTTTAGCCTCTGTAAAATTCCGGTGTAAAATTGGGTTGCCAAAGCTCTACTATTTTCAGCTCTTAAGTTTACCCAATAATCTCTACCAAATGGGATAATCAGTGTAAAAGGGAAAAAGCCTGTGGAATCTAGGAAAAGGTAGATACTAAAAGGAGAGATCCAAGAATTTCACAAACCACTTTGGACAAATTTCATTTTACCATTTTGCCAGGTAAACTTCATTTAGTGTTGTGCCTGGAATAATTTAAATCAATGATTTTATAGTTTTTTAAACCATTCTTACTTCTGTTATATATTATCAAGGAAAATCTGCACTATTCCCTTCTACACATTTAAATAGTCTTTCTGGCACAATTGCTGAGATCAAGAGAAAGGATATCATTCCAAAACCAGAAAAACCACGTCACATACATCCAAAATTTTGTTGCTAGGTAGATTCCAAGAGGCAGAGCACTATGCATGGAGTGATCAAAGAAAGATCTGTAGGACAGAGAAACAATATCACATAATTGATTAGTATACATGCTACATATCCTTGCTTACGAAAACAGCTGAATCTGTTTAAAAGGTCATGTAGGCTAAAATAAAAATCATTTCACTGGAAAAACTATATAATATCATTTGATAAATGCTTGCCAGGTTCACAAATGACTGATTCAGAAATTGCATCTGTTCAGCCTGCAATCCTCACATGATATATCAATTAAGGCAATTTCAAAACTGGAATCTACCATGACATGCTGGGAATTAACAATGTTATGATTAATTTGTCCAGCAAATACATCAACACCAGCAACCATCTGGGTGAATTTTTAAACATTTGTCCAGTGAAGCTTACAAATATGTCAATTTGCACACACACAAAAATTCCATGCATTTGCTCTTTCTAAAACAAACAATGAAAAAGTAAGAGAAAGAAGAATACTGAGAAGAGAGAACTAGACAAGAAAATAATTCTTCAGATATTACAAAAAAAGGTTCCCACTGAAAAAGCAGGGATGAATCCCATCCCACCCACCCCAAAATTGGGCTGAAATCTTTAAATAGTTATATACTTTCAAGAAGAGTAAGCACAGTTTGAAAGGAAAGGAGCTTATGCTCATTTGTTCTCCAATGGGTTTTAATCTTTTTGTAAGGCTGAACAAGGATATACTGCTTGTCCTGAATGTACCGAAAATTTACAACATGTCAAGAAAAAAAGAAAAATCTTTGCACTTGCCACTGCTTCTGCATTTTCATCTACAAATCCCAGCTCTATTTTTGCCATTCTCCAAATATAATAGCACACACATATACAATACATCTCACATATTATTTCAAAGATTACTGAGGGAAAGACTACACTTCCTTTAACTTAAACTCATCTGCATACAGGTAGCATTAAATTTTTCCTTGCTAATGATAAGCAGAGCTCTACGTACAGTTGTGGACCTGCGCCTTTTTCGCCGAGCCCTGAAGGCCCATCTATTCCGTGCGGCCGGCCTGGCGTAGTTTGATGATGTTTTAGTGGGGATTTTGTATGGGGTATTTTAGAGTAGGCCTCTAATTTAATTTGATTTTAGAACAGAAACTTGCGTATATTTATCGTGGTTTTTATTATCGCCTGTTCACTGCCCTGAGTCCCGTAAGGGAGATAGGGCGGTATATAAATTCAATAAATAAATAAATAAATAAAATTGTTTTCTTTTTGAAAGTCAGAAAGTGAACATTATTTTAAATCCCTACTCAGCCAAACTCAAAACAACACCTTTAAGTAAAAGCTACCTCAAAGAAGTAAGTTGCAATAATTGAATCTTTTACTCTTATACAAAAAGAGCTCAATGTTTGAAATATTAAATATTAATCTAACATGGGTTATATTTCTTATATTGGCAATAAACTGAATGCCATTAAGATTATATGGATATAAGTAATCTTGTTTTTGTGACCTCTTAAAATTTTGAGATAAATTTTATCTTAAAATTTCCTTTCAAAGGAAATAGCATTTAAAATAAAACATTACACTATGAAAACAAGTAAAAAATATTTTCCACTGCTACAAGGAAAGTATTTTAATTCATTAATAAAGACATTATGGCTAACAGACAATGAAATCAAAATTCTGAAAGGGGAACCACTTTTGATTATTTTCTTCACTATCATACTGCAAGATGAAATAATGATTGATATACTGATTGAACTGGTAAAGCTCCTATTGAAAGTTATATTATGAATGCCACTTACTGTAGGATCTAACATGAGCAAATATGAAGGTCAGAATATAAGAACATACAAGCACATTTCCTTACATAAGACATCTAATATTTTCCATCTTAATACTGATGTATAAAGAAAAATGAAACTAAATAAAACTAATTCTTTTCAAAAGAAGCACCTTAATGTATCTGATAGTATATTACATAATAAGCAAAACAACTTTTGGGGGTACCTACTTGGAAAGAAACTGAACCATAGCCCAAACACCACCATACATTAGTCCTTTGATTAGCCAAGAATCAATATCAAGATCTGCTATAAATCCAACCAGCCAAATAACTAGGAATGGTGTTCCTAGCATCACCTTCTGACGAAATTCCTACAAAAAATAGTAAGTATTAATTATTCTATTTTTTAAATGAAAGTATAATTTTTACTCAAACATTTCATAGTAACTTTAAATAAAAAGGATCAAAGAAGAGCCAGTCACTTCACCCCAGTAGGAAAAGTCATTTTTTAGAAAGTCAATTTAAAAGATGCAAAAGTACAAGATTTCAAGTACCTCTTGACATCATTTCAAGAAATTACATGTCAACAAAACCCAAAGTTTATATCAGTTTTTAAATATTGTTCTCACCTTATCACCCCTCAGCTTCCTGAGAAAAGATGGATTGTCATAACCTTTTGCTTGCCTTGCCTCTTGTAGATGATTTATCATCCAAACATTTTTTCTTTGCTTTGCTAAATCAAGTGGTGATTCTCCCTATTAAAATATAAAAGATTTTAAATGATTTTAGATTAAAAGTGGAAAATATGTAACAATTTAACATATTATTTAAAAGTTTTAGATATATTAAATCAGTTCATTACATTATGTAGTTCACTAGTCTGGAACACGAGGCTCTCTTTCACATATTAACAAGCAGCAGAGGCAAAGAAAAAGTCAATTTCATTAGCTAACAGGATTTAGCTAACAGATATGTTTTGTGTATTATCAATATCTCATGTAGATGTTCACTTTATAGATTAGATTGACTGCAAATCAACTGGAGATTAAAGTATATTTTAAGCATCATTATAAATGATGTAATAGAATTCTACCATCAATTTGCTCCCACCAAATGTTCAGATTTTTAACTAAATATATGTGCTAGTGCTTATATGTGCTTTTGCACACCTAGATTCTGTCAGCAGGTTCTATTGGATACAGATCACATATTCAAGAATTCTCATTTTGTAAAGATTAATCCAACAACTGAGCAATTTGAGTTTTTTATTATTTACAGATAGTTCTTGACTTACAACTCTAATTGAGCTTAGAATTAAGGTTGTAATTTGTTGAAGTTGTAAATCAAGCCATCACATGACTGGGCCTGATTTTTTGACATTTTTTGCTGCAGTCATTAAGCAAATGCAGTGGTTAAATAAATGCCGCAAATGGTAAGCAAATCAATTTTGCCAAAAATTAGAAGTAAATACTTGAAACCTGAAAAAACACCTACAAATTCCGGCCATCTCACCATAGAACAGCAAACTGCTGTGAAGATGAGCCAACTGTCAAGCACCCAAAATACAATCACATGACTACAGAGGATGGGGGCTGCAGCCATCGTAACATGTTATAAGGCGCTTTTGGAGGATCTGTTTAAGCTTCGAATAGTCATTATATGACCAGTTGTAAATTAAAGACTACCTGCTAATATTAGCATGAAATTTAAGCTGTAAGAAATATTTTAGTTTTCAAAATCATTACTATAACAGAAATAAGAAATAAAATTAATGAATAATTTTCATTCTTCCTTTGAGATACACTGCATTAATAATGTGTCCTGATCACTTTAATCTGCAAGTGTCATAAATTTTGCACAAGGTAACAAAATGTTATCAGATTGTGGCAATTTCTTTATATAATTCATCAGGAAATACAGAAATCCTTCCAATGCCTAGAAAATTAAAATAAACCTGCAATATAATTTTTTCTCAGAGACTTGGGACAAAACAGTAGACCTCATTTACACCTAAAGGAAGAAACGTTCTTATGGAACAGAGGAGGCAAAGGACAACCAACTGAAGGTACCTTCAGCTCCAGTTTTGCACTCCTCCTCTCTTCTACTGAAGATAACTCCCCTCCTAAACAAATATTCATGGAGGCTTGAAAAATGGTTGAATCCTCCATCGTTTGGCCCCCGCCTAAAAAAAAATGAAACAGTACCAGAAACTGAAAATTTACCCCGAAAAGGCATAAATCCTTTGAAACAAAGTACAAATTGCAAGGATTACACATATGTATTCCAGCATCAACAGAAACTAGATATACTGAGAAGTAGATAGTTAATTTCTATTGGCAGGATTTGAACACAAAAACCCTGTGTAGTAGGTATCAAAATCTTAGCCAACAAACCATTATGAGAGACGTAACAGAAATAAAAATCAGCTCATAGTATTTTATGGTTCTTAGGAGTTTCATTCCATTTCCACTATGCATTTAAAAAGTACCTCCCCAAACAGCTTAAGATCCAGAGATATTGGGAGTTTACCCCTCCCTTGAAACATCACATGCTTCAAGGAAATCATTGCTTATATAATCTGGATATGCCAGATTGGACAAAGCCAAACTAAGAGAACCTCCATCTCTCTCTGGTTCATCTTTCCATTGTGGTTCTACCTAAATACAAATTCAGACCATGCAAATATAATAATACTTTAATAGCTTAATTGCTTTTGTCCCTGAAGACAAAGTAGAACACTGCAACAACTTAGCCCCAAAGTGTGTTAACTGGAGGATGAAATTTTCTACAAATGTTGATGATTCCTAACTAGCCTACTAGAAAGGACAGACAATAGAAAGGACAGTTCAATCTCCTGCTACTTTATTTTAGTTAGAGAAAATGTTAAGAGAAAAGAAGCAGAAATAAATAATCTATGAACATCTAGAGCAGCAGGAAATATTAGTACTCTTTTTAATGTACTGAAATACAACAGTCTGAATTGCAGTTTTTCTTTTCTACCTCGTTTTTAATATCAGAACCATGTATTTGAGAGCATGCGAACAGAGCCAGTTAAGAAGGAAAAAGGAAGCATAAATAATGCAAGTCCCAATTATCCAACAGAACTCTTAATCTGAATCACAAATGCATTATAGAAGGATAAAAATAATTGTTCCCTTTCTCACCTATCCAGTTAAAAAGTAGCTATATTTATTTATTTGTATCCTGCCTTTATTATTTTTACAAATAACTTAAGGTGCTGAATATATTCAACACACCTTTCTCCTCCTATTTTTCCTACAACAACCACCCTATGTGAACTTTGTGAACTCTAAAGCTTCCTCCTTCTGTTATGTGTTCAAGATGGACAGTGATTAATATTTATATTAAGGGTGTAGGTTTATATATATATGTTGTATATAGTATGTTTAAATGTGTGTTATGTATGTGTACACTTTGAGAGCAAGCAACTAAATTTCATTTTTAATGTGTGCCATTGTGCCCACAATAAAAAATGTCAATAAAGGTTATCTATCTATCTATCATCTATCTATCATCTATCTATCTATCATCTATCTATCTATCTATCTATCTATCTATCTATCTATCTATCTATCTATCTATCTATCTATCTATCTATCTATCTATCTATCTATCTATCTATCTATCTATCTATCTATCTATCTATCTATCTATGCATGCAGTGGGCTGGCTGAGTGTGTGTGACTGGCCCAAGGTCATCCAGTTGGCTTTCATGACTAAGGCAGCACTTGAACTCTTTCTAGTCTGGTGCCTTAAATACTAGACCAAACTGTCTCTTAATATAGTTGGAGTAAATAAAAATCAATTATGAGGGAAAAGCAAAGATTTTATATATTATGAACATTCTGACCAGAAACTAAGATACAATACTATGTGTTTTTTTGGTGGAAAAACTGTGCCATACAAAGACATAGACGCAAGATCTGATTTAAGTTTAATGTAAAATAGATAGTAATTTAGAAATTGAATCTGAACTCTCCCAAAGCACTGTCTCTCTGAATTGGCTATCTATATGCAAACATATGAAATGAATGGACTCAAGACTTTGTAATACAAAGTTATAACTCAAGTGTCTTATTTTTATGCCATGATGTTCAGATCTCAGGAAAATACATTAATAAGTAATAGGGATATTGGGTTGTGTAAAACATTATCAATTATAATAGAATTATCAATTATTCAGAACTGAGAAATTGAGAAAATGAAAGAAAGATGAGTGGTAACCATAATAAGACAATAACAACTACCTTATGCTCACACAGAGGCAGCACCTCTGCCATAACATGAATGATTTTGGTCCTTGTTTTCCTTTCACTTTGTACAGTATAAGACAAATAACTTTTGTCCTATGGCTCTTTCTCTAGAAATGGAAACCTGTAGCTTTACCCAAAAAAGGCACAGCATCACAAAGCAAACATACAGTTTTAAAAGAAATACTATTTAGCAGTGACATCCACATCTTGACCAATCAGAGCCCCTTCTCCATTAATTGGAATAATCTGGATATAAGACTTTCATAATGATTGAGACTGGCAAGACAGGAGCCAATGGTTCCCAGAAAGATACAATAATGTATCTCAACAACTTAAGGTTACCAAGAGACCAAGTAAATATCTGTTAAATTGAAATGGTGGGAGGAGGGTTTATAATTTGGAAGACAGATATAGATCTATAAGCTCTCTGTGCTGCAGTAGACAATTATTTTTGAGACCTCGTTCTTCACTGATATCTACAATGAAGATACAAGTCTAATGTCTGATACAAGTATCTAATGTCTGAGACATTAGACAAGAGTTGATATACTGTAATATACTGTTGAGCCCAGTTGTTTAATTGTTCTCAGTGCCATGAGCGAAAAGTTGTTACCCTATGAACTGAGGATTAACATGATGGTTACAGTTACCCACTATCAGGCAAGTTACCAATGCTTTGTTTCAATATTGGTGGTCCACAAGTTATGATGGCAATTGGGATTGGGATTGCCGTCAATAAACTATGTCATTGTGAAGTGTGATGTCACATGACCACATCACTTAGCAATGGCAATCCTGGACGCCATTTTAACCCCAGGACCTGCATGGTTTTTAAGTGGGAAGCAATGGGGAGTTCCAAGCAAAGAGTACATGACGAATGCCATGGGCTGGCACTACAGAACATGGGTGGGCAGCAAGGGCCCCATATGCTCCAGGAGGGATCCTTGGGGGGAGGGAAGCAGCAGAAGTGACTTATTACAATGACTTGCAACCTTCCTTGCTAGCAATCATGTGACACAACTCACTCCAATGTCATAATTGCGAACTGTAAACCTAGATCGCAATCAATGACCAATGATTGTAATCAATGACCACAATGTGATGGCCAGAACTTCAAGGACCAGTCATAAGTCCATTTTTATCAGCAGCAGCAGCAACAGCAACAACAACAATAATAAAGTTGGAAGGGACCTTGGAGGTCATCTAGTCCAACTGCCTGCTCAGGCAGGAAACCCTATACCATTTCGGACAAATGGCTGTCCAGTCTCTTCTTAAAAACTTCCAGTGTTGGAGCATTCACCGCTTCTGGAGGCAGGTTGTTCCACTGGTTAATTGTTCTAACTGTCAGGAAGTTTCTCCTTAGTTCTAGGTTGCTTCTCTCTTTGGTTAGTTTCCATCCGTTGCGTCTTGTCCTGCCTTCAGGTGCTTTGGAAAATAGCTTGACTCCCTCTTCTTTGTGGCAGCCCCTGAGATATTGGAAC